TATATACACATACTATGAACAGTTTAGGATGAAGTCAGTTAACCTACCAGTATGTCTTTGGAGTATTGGATGAAAAACACACTAGCACAGGAAATTTATGCAAACTCCATGCAGATGGTGTCCTGGCTGGGATTTGAGCTGAGATCCCAAGTGTTAACCGATAATCCATTGTGATAATTACCTTCTCCATAAATCTTACTTTTACAGCTTAGCCCTTGGGTATCTGTAGTCTGTAGATCAGCTGTTCCCATTCCTTTTAACATGGAGGAACCCTTGAAAAAACTTCCAGTCTCAGAGAACCACTGCTAATAATTACTATGTTTACAGCTCATGGTACATAACCATGAAGGTCAATGGGAAGAATGCTCCTTAAATTTGTGGACATTGGGAAAGATTGCCCTTACAGGCCTAAAAAGATCTTTGTTGTTGGTGGATACTTATCTGAGAATCAGAAATTGCTCATTGCTCAGGGAACACCTAGCAACCTCTGGAGGAACCCTAGTTGAGATAGCCTGCTGTAGAATAAAGCTCTCAGGCACAGTTCCCCGTGCTGTGAGATCATTAGTTCAGGTTGAATCTGTGAGCTATCAGAAAGCATTTATGCATGCTCTTAGTTCTGTGACCACGTAGTCACTGACAGCTACAAGTCTCAAAATAAGGATTGGTAGTGATGAGCTCAGGTGTAATTGGATCTTAGTCCCAGCTTACTTGAGGAATCCCGCCAGGATGCTATCAACTTTAATGGGCCAATCATTTGTGGCCAGGACATTCCCCACTCTACAACTGTGGATGTATGTATGTCTTGGGTCCCAATCCCAATCCTTCTACCTGAAGGTAGAAGGTTTTTACCACTGTTCAAGCAGTGCTGCTGGCCACAGTGTCGGCTACCACTGTATATACTCCTTCCAGCTTCTTCCATCTTCTCCCCCACAAACACTGTTGAGGCACCAGATTGATGAATCAAAATGTGAGTGCTCTGGTTTTTCTACTTAGTAGTTTTAGTTATTTAAATCTAATAAAGCATTTTTTTTAACTTTATGGCATCTCAGGAGACTGACAACTAGTTTTTTTTGCACAGTTGGTGAGATAAAATATCATTCATACAGGGTGTGCATTGTTTCCAATAAGTGAAGTTGGATCATGAGGAGTATTAAAATACAATAATTGTGTAGCATTGCAAACAGGGGTGGACTGACAACTCATGGGCCCCCCGGGCAATAGGGGATCATGGGGCCCCTGTGTCCTTGCCCAAACTCAAAAAAGCCTATGAAAAAGGTACCAGGGGCATCTCATGGGGCCCCCTACTGACCCCGGGATCTCGGGCAGTGCCCGAGTTACCATATGGTCAGTCCACCCCTGCTCAGGAGTACACCCCACTTATACTAGTTTCTAGACTTTGGGACATACAGTATCTCCTACATTTACCTTGTGCAGGTAGAAGGGAGCTGCATTTCCTTAGATGTAGATCCAAATATCTTTTTTAAGGAATGAAAGAAAGTACCTCAAAACAAAACTCTGGTAGTGCAGATTGTGTTTTCTTGTAAGTCTCCCATCCTAGAGGCGCACGTATACAATGCATATGTACATATGCAGCTGCGGAGCATGGCATGCCTCAGCCTGTTACTATTAGCCCAGTACAATGATAGCTTCCTGGTGGGCTTCCTCAGATGGTTTTGAAAAAAGATCCAAATATAACTGAGCTCATCCCTAATGATTGGGAACCAATCTGTATGATTTTAGATCATGTGATAATTGTCTGTTAACATGCACACAGTGTTTCTGCAAGCACTACGTTCCTTCTTAGGTCCACACTCTCTCCTTGATCTTCTCAACTCCTGGACATCCAGCAGGTCTAGATAAGTAAGGGTGTACTGATTATAATTGTGGTACAAGGAAACAAATGTGTGCAGAGGCATCAATGTGTGGTGGAGATCAATATGCTGTGTTTTTTTGTTGGTCGTAACCTTTCTCATTTGTTTTGCATTCTAAAGAAAAACTCCAAAGTTATATTATGAAGTAAGAGGCTGGTGTTGTACATTGAGGTGAATGTAAAGTGTCTCCAGGCCATGTTCTAGCTCAAAACTCTTGGAGACCTTATGTAGCACTGCCCCCGTAGGAGCCACTAAACAGATGCCAGGATCCCTTTTCCCAGAAGTTTCCTCGCAGCCAAGCACACAATTGTGGTCACTCTTCAAACTCATTAACCAATCTAGGAGTATGCTTTTCTTGATGCTTTAATAAGAACTTGGATAGGTAGTGGGTAATGATAAGGTACTCCAGTAACAATTTGAGGACACAGAACTTTCTCTTCAGAACTATGAGCCAAGTCTTTGCACAAGCTATTGATGGACTGAGCTTCAGAGTAACATTATGAGGAGATTAATCTTCCACCTTGGACATCCATTTCAAATCCTTTCACTAAGAATTAGAGCTCTTCAGGACACAAGACACAATGTCCTCTTCAAAACCCGTCCAGCACAATAGAGATGGCCACAGCACACGGTCTCTAGGATCTCTGACACCAGTCTGTACTCACTAATGTCCTTGGAAAATTGGTTGTCTCCTTCCAGCATCCTGCAGACACTTTCACTCTGTAGTACCAGACTAGATTCTCAGACGACCATTCAGTCAGCGTCAGCAACTCTCAGCAAAGTAGGTCTCCAGCTAGCTCCACTGAGACAATTGGCAGAATGGCCTCAGGGGCTAACAGCCCCCTAGGGTGTGATCTCCTCCTCAGGGAAAAAGACCAGGCTGCTCTCACTCTCAGAGTATTTATACAGATTTCTAGTCACCATCTGGGCACATCTTCCCAGGGATTGGCCAGGGCTGCATAAATATTCAGCTGCTGATTAGACTTTTCTTGCCCACTAACTTCCAGAACATTTCAGGAGAACCAGGGGAAAGCAGTCAGTCCTGCAGTCCCAGAAACAAAGAACAGGCCAGAGCAATCAAACACAGTCACACTGGTTACAGTGAGCCAGAACTAAATGTTTCTGATCCTAGCACCTACTGTATCATGGAAGGTGCTACATTTACATTAACAGATCCCTCACCTAGGCACTGCCTATTTTTGAAGTGGAATCCAAGGTCCATGCAATGTTCACTTTTTCACTTTTTAAATATTGCCCCCCCCCAATAAAATGCTGACTAAAGCCCTTTTCACAGGGACATTTTTTTGGACATGATTAACGAGAAAAAAATTGGACAGCAATCTATCTCTATGGGTGGCTGCATGTAACCAGTGGTGTGTCTATTAACGTCCAGGTTTGTTCAGGTTTGTCAGACCAAACCTAATTCGTTTGTATCAAGGTCCACACTTACTGACCAGTCCAGATGTGGGCAGATATAGGCAGATGCAGATCCACTTAGATCGGATTACATGGGTCGGTTTTTCCTCCTTCACAAGATGGAAGAAAAAAAAAGATGGACACAGATGTTTCCATTCTGATCCAACTTAGCTGGATTTCAGTCTGGGATCCCATGCTGTGAAGAACGAAGGATGCCTACTTGAAAGGGGCCCAGAAGTGTGAAGAAGACACCTGTAACAGGAAAAAAGTTAGATTTTTCAACAGAAAAAGGTGACTGTTCTGTCCTCACTACACTTTCCCTGTGTGTAACTCAACGTGCAGCTAAACCCTCCTATTCTGCAATAAGCCTGACTGAATGTAATCTTGAAGCTTTATTAACAAAACAGGGTGGGTGAAACTATTGAAAAAATAGATGAGAAATACATACAATCAATGTATGAAATATACAAAAAACACAGTAAAGTATCTAGACTACAAATGGCAATAAGTCTATGCTCACCAGTGATGCTGCCTTTAGGGTATGCAAGTTTTAGTCCACAACATTTTCCATTGACAGTTCCAGTGACTGGTTACTTCTCTCTCAGTTTCTAAGATCGAATCTGATCTCCCAGGATGCATCTGTTTTTACTTTTCTCAGAATGATGAGAATTTTTATTACCTCTTAGCTCTAAACACTCTTTAGTTTCTGTAGAATAGTATATTTGTTACTGGTTCCATCTATTGGCCGGATTTAATATTGTAGGCAGGACAACTTAAGAAATATCCCTGCTGTAGGCAGAACAGGGATCCTGTAGTTAAGAACATCATATCGCTAAACAGGTACCTTATCTTGCAAGAGAATTCTCAAACCACAGACTGGAGAATCACAGTGGTGATGTCTTCTTATCTGCACTGTATGAATAAATTTGGTGTTATACTATAAAGCCCAATTCCACTCAAACATCTTGCTAGCTAATAGTTGGAAAGGGATACAACTTCCACGTTTTATTGCAGTCTTTGGCTCCCTTAAAGAGATTTTTCTTCATTTTCTGTTCTGTCACCAGGACAGAGAGGGATGTGTCTTTTACTAGTGGTAACACAGAAAGATATAAACACATTTCTCTTAAGTAGATTTTGGAAGTGTCAGGTTTCTATTTTTTTGTGCTTTCCTGTTGAGGAAGTTTGTCTATGGTCATTAGGATGGGAAATGAGGTTAAACATTCCCAAGGGAGACACAGGTGGTAATAAAAACCTGACAAAAGTTCTAATCTTTCCTTACTGTATCCAGAACTACAAAAATAGTTCAACTACATATTTAAAGCTAAACTCCAGGCAGATATAATAGACGCAAATTATTGCATCTCCGCAGTCATTAATATGTCATTTTTTAAATGCAAGCGGTGTTAATACCTGAATTTGACCTGGTATTGGCCTCTTGCAGTCCCTGTGTAGCAGGGCTGCAGTGTGAGAGGAAGAAGCAGCACAATGAACCAATCAGTTTGTGTGTTCACAAGAAGCATGCTGATAGGAGGAGAAAGCAGAAAAGCAGAGTGACATAGATAAGAACTTGTCACTGTACTGCTTCTCCTTTCACTGTCCAGTCACTGGCAGGGGCCGAGTCCAGGACAACCTGGGCTCAGAGGAAGTGTGCTGAATGATGTTTGCCATCAGACTTAGGGCATCTAGTGGCGGAAAATAAGTACTACATTGAAGGATTAAAGGTGACTACTGCAGAAAAAGCTGTTTTTTTTTATTTTATCATTTAACATATTGTACATTTCTATTTTATTTCTGGCTCATGTTCTGCGTGAATATTTTCTTCAAATGATTTTTATTTTTGCCTATTTTAGAATGCAGTTACCGACAATGACATCATGTTTGTCAAAATCCACTGTCCCTGGGATACACTGTGCAAATACGCCGAGAGGATGAACATCAGAATGCCTTTTAGGTATATGTCTTTGGGTTCCTTTTTGATCCATTTTCCGTATCTGTTACTTTGTGTGGATTGTAATGGTTCATAGAAACATGTTAATCACGACAAGCTGGGAAATCTCTGGGTATGATAACAAGCTCTTCTGATGGTCAGTGGTGCTAATTATCATTGCCTCTGGAATCCCACGTGGCATAAGCACTTTTCAAATCTAGCACATCGCTTACAAGGGTTATGGCGGTCCTTGAGAACAGCTATTTTAATCTTCCACCTTTGCTATGTCTTTCCTTATATAGGATAAAATAAGAGATGCCTTCTATGAAGTATGGCCAGGTTTTAGGCTAGGTTCACATTTGTGCCATATTGGAAAATCTTGTGCATTCCTGCAATATAGAGAAACGTGCATCTCTTTTGCAGATAATTCTTAATGGCACCCCAACGCATCTTGGTACTGGGCATGGGAAATTGCGCTCCAAAAGGCATGGTAATAAAATGCCATGTGTTTTGGCGTGGCGCAATTTTTAAAAACACTTCTGTTGTATGATTTTCATGCATAGGGCAGCCCATTGGAATGAATAGGCAATGCTTGTGCACCGCCGCTCCTGCATAGGTGTGAATGGAGCCTTAGCCCTCATTCACATGGGCCTTCTGCGTTTCATCGTACTCTGGTTTGCATGCATTTAGATGCGTTTAGAAGCATTCAGAGTATCTAATCTTCCCCTGAATGTGCAGAATTCTATTTTTTCTAAACACATCTAAACTGATTGCATCTAAACGCAAGCAAACAGTATGAATTTTAACATTTAAAATAATTGCACTGATTTATATGCATTTAGAAATGTCATTTAAATGCATATATAATCACATGGCCATGTGAATGAGGCCTTAGAGTGCTCACAATTATCATGAGTGACTGGGCGACTTAGGCCCCATTCACGCCTGAGCGTTTTGAACGAAAAAATCAATTATTCTCTATGGTGGTGGTTCATATCTCCAAGCCGAAAAACAGATGAGGCTCCATTCACACTTTGCAATTCTGCCTGCAATTCCTAATCACGTGGCAATCACAGCACCACATCCAGTGTGATTGGGTGCCATTATTCTTCAGTGACACTCCATTTGGGCAGCACAGTGGCTAAATGGTTAACACTTCCCCCTGCCAGTACTAGGCTCATTGGTTCGAATCCCAGCCACGGCACCACCTGCCTGGAGTTTGTATGTTCTCCCTGTGCCTGTGTGGGTTTCCTCCCACACTCCAAAGACATGCTGGTAGATTAATTGGATCCTGTCTAAATTGGCCCTAGTATGTATGATTGTAAGTTAGGGACCTTAGATTGTACACCCCTTGAGGGTTAGGGACTGATGTGAATGTACAATATATATGTAAAGTGCTGCGTAAATTGACAGCGCTAAATAAGTACCTGAAAAATAAAATACACAATGCAATTTTTCCGCATGCGGCAATTGTGGCAAACTGCACCTTTAAAAGTCATGCTGAGCTTGATTCCCGAAAAGGAGCAGGAGCTTTCTTTTCGGGCGACAGACGCACATAGGGAAGCCCATTCAAGTGAACGCGTTTTCCCTATGTAACATTCAGAATAGCATAAAAATCGCGCTGTCAAAATCGCGTAGAGGGAACGCTCATTTCTTCTACGCAATAATGTGGATGGAGCCTGAAGTTCATAAAAGTATTAGAGCTACTTCTGAAGATTCTGGCAGAAGCACATAACAACAAAATAGGTAACAGATTTTAATTTTTTTTCTATCTTGGCTAATACAAAAATGCCAAAGCTCTTAAACGCTTGGAAAACGCTGTACAAAAACGCTCAAACCGCACATACAATCATGCAACAAAATGCCCCAAAAATGCACAGAAACACAATGTTCAGATGTGAATGCACATTTACACATGCGACTTGTATTACAAGAGCACAATTATGCGATTTTGGCTCCATAAACGTTTAAGTGGGAGCACTTGAAACGTACGTAAACAGGCATTTTGTAAGCGTTTTTTAGGTGTTCTCATTAAAGGGTTAAAATGTGCTTTTCTGCCCCAGAAGAAGCTTATGTACTTTTCTGAGCTTCACAGGAGGAGGGACACAATGATTAGGTGTTAACGGGTCCATTGAGAATAACTGGATTCTTCATCTTGAGTGTTGTCACGCTTTGGGAATTGCATGGCGAAATGGTCAGGTGTGAATAGGGGCTAAGTATTAATTAGTGATGGGCCGAATACGCGATCAAACATTCGAACCTAACGAACGTTCAACCGCGAACTTCAAACTTAATGCAAGTCTATGGGACTTGAACTTGTAAATTCAAAAGTACCCATTTTGAAGGCTTATATGCACGTTATTGGCCATAAAAGGGGTATGGGGACTTGGGAACTGCCATGACATGAATCAGTGAAACAAAAAATGTAAAAGGTAGTTTTTAAAGGGGCACTCATTTTTCATTGCTTAACCACTTCAAGTCCGGACACTTTCACCCCCTTCCAGTCCAGGCCAATTTTCAGCTTTCAGTGCTATCACACTTTGAATGACAATTGCGCGGTCATGCAACACTGTACCCATATGAATTTTTTAGAATTTTTTTTCAGACAGATAAAAATTTATTTTGGTGGTATTTATTCACCACTGGGATTTTTATTTTTTTTTTGCTGTATAAATGAAAAGGTAAAAAAAGTTGAAAAAAAGTGTTCTTTTTATAAAATTTTTCAAATAAATAATCTTTCTTCTTAAATCTTGGCCAAAATGTATTCAGTTATCTTTTTAGTAAAAAAAAATAACCCAAATTAGTTTATAACCATAAATTATAATTTTTTTACATTTTTTTTTACATTTTTATTTTTTGTATTATTATTTTTTATGTTTTTTTTTTTAACATACTGTCACCCTAGCAGTACAGTGTCACCATAGTGACACTGTACTACTTGTGGGGGGTGATGAAGATTTTGTTTTTTACACGGATTGCTTTTATACCCATAAAGGCTGTAAAAGCAATCATTTCTCGTTCTCTCTGGCTGCATTCTTGCAGCCATTGAGAAATACTGTGAGAGATGTGATTGTACACAGCGGGAGTTTGTCAGCAGGTCATGGTCATTGATTCATGGCTGGGTACTGCTGATCAACTGTGTCCAATCACGGCCCAGAGCCTTGTGTTGACATTCAACACAGGGCTGTGTACAGGGGAAAGGATCTCTCTGTTTCTTCTCTCTTCAAAGCAGGGAGAAGAAACAAAGAGATATTTATTAAAAAGGAGCACACATTACACAAATTACCACATTTAACCCCTTGATTGCCCGAGATGTTATCTCCTTCCCAGCCAGCATATAGAATTATCACTGATCACTAGTGCTACTGGTGACATCAGTGGCAATTAGTCAGTTCCCACGTCAGCTATTGACAGATTGCCTTCTGCACTATCACAGTCCCACTATAAGTTGCTGATTACCGCCATTAGTAGTATATATATATATATATATATATAAAAATTAGTAGTGTATATATATATATATATATATATAAAAATTCCAGTATATATGCAGCATAGCTTGTAGACGCTATAACTTTCATGCAAATCTATCATTATACACTTATTGGGATTTTTTTTTTTTTTATTACCGATGACATGTAGCAGATAACATTTTGTCCTAAATTTATGAAGAAATTTGAATTTTAAAAAATTGAGATGTTTTATAGCAAAAAGTAAAAAATATTAGTTTTTTTTTCCAAATGTTTGGTGTTTTTTTGTTTATATTCTAAAAGTTAAAATAACCCAGTGGTGATCATATACCACCAAAAGAAAGCTCTATCTGTGAAAACAATGTTATCAATTTTGTATGGGTACAAAGTTGTATGATCGCACAATTACCAGTAAAAAGTAGCACAATGACAGCAAGCAGCAAAAAATGGCCTGGTCACAAAGGAGGGTAAAACCTTCCGGAGCTGAAGTGGTTAATGAAAGGACAAGGCTTTTAAATATTATCTGTTATGTTCAAAATGCAAAAAGGTTTAGGTAAAAACTCTATAATAATAAACATCACTTCATGCAATAAGTACAGACGACAGCATAATAAGGGTGCTTGCTGCATTGAACTAGACAAAAGAAAAAAAGTATTGTCTGTATCAGCCAATCACATGACAGCTCTACAGGCTAGGTCAGTGGCGCTCATCCTGCGGATCCACCAGCATCAGTACAACATTTTTTTTGGATATGTAAATACATTTGCTGTTGGTACCCCACAAATTGTCTCTAAGGGCTCGTTTATTCATGTGTCAACCCTTACAGCCCCTCTGAAAAGCGATCCGCAGTTTTATGCAACCACGTGGATTGTACTCAGTTGTATGTTGGTTGTAGAGCGGCCCCATACACTTAAATAGGTCATGCTTGGCAGCGATTCCGCTCTCGGAATGCAATCTGTTGTTTAATATTTGCCGCTGCTGTGAAGCAAAGCATTGCCGCCGCAGTATGCGTTCAGCCCTGCCCTTTGGTTATATAGGCGGTCAGCGGGTGTTAAAACCACTACCTGGCTGCCCATGTGAACAAGCCCTTACAAGAACTCTGCTGAATGAATATAGTTTCTTAATAAATTATAATAAAAAAGCCGGAATGCCAAAATAAAAATCCAGATAAAAAGTTTACAGAAGATCCATATCAGAAAAAAGAGAATATTTATTTATTTATTCCAGGCACTTCTATAGTGCTGTCAATTTATGTAGTTCTTTACATATATATTGTACATTCACATCAGTCCCTAACCCTCAAGGAGTGTACAATCTAAGGTCTCAACTTACATTCATACATACTAGGGCCAATTTAGACAGGAGA